AATACACACCAATGTCTCTCATGAACATACATGCAAAATACCTCCACAAAATTGTAGAAAATTGAATCCAACAATGCATAAAAGGAATTATACGTCATGACCCAGATATGCAAGGCTGGATTAGTATTCAAGCAATTACTATTATACATCACATCAACAGGCTAACAGAGAAAAAAACCACTCCATGATATCAATGGGTGCAGCAAAAGTTTTGACAAAATCCAACACCCACTTACGATAAAAACTCTGTGCAAACTAGAAACTGAAGGGAACTTCCTCAACTTGATAAAAAACATCTACAAAAATCTACAGCTGATATTATACTTACTAATGAGCAACTAGAACCTTTCTGCTATGATCAGGAAGATGGTAAGGTGGTCCCTCTCACGACTTTTTTTCAACATTGTATTTGTTGTTCAAGCTAAGGCAATAATATAAGAAAGGAAATAAAAGGTATACAGATTGGAAGGGAAGAAATAAAACTGCCTTTGTCCACAGATTACAAGACATTCTAGGCAGAAAATCTAAAAGAATCGACCAAAAACCTCCTGGAATTTATAAGTAGTTATAGCAAAGATTGCAAGATGTAAGGTTAATATACACAAGCCATTTGCTTTTTGTATACCAGCAATGAACTAGTGGTACTTGGAATTAAAAACACAATATGATTTACATTATCACACCAAAGAAATCGAACAAAATGGAAAAACCATCAATAAGAGGAAAGCTACAAATTTCTGAGGAGAGAAGTCAAAGAAGAACTAAGCAAGTGGAGAGATTTTCCATGTTCATGGGTAGAAACACTCAGTATGGCCAAGACGACACTTCTTTCCAACTTGATGTATAGATTCAACGCAATTCCATTCAAAATCCCAGCAAGTTCCTTTGTGGGTATTGGCAAACTGATTCTAAAGTTTATGGAGAGAGCTAAAAGACCCAGAGTAGCCAACACCATATTGCAAGAGAGAAACAAATTGAGAGAACTGACACTACCTGCCTTCAGGACTTTCTATACATCTACAGTAATCAAGATAATGTGATATTGCTGAAAAGATAGGCAGATAGATTACCTAAAGTACTTAGAGAGTAGAGAGCCAAAAAGTAGACCCACACACCTATGTATACATATATAGACAACTGATTTTTGACAACAGAATAAAGCCAATTCAATAGAGAAAAGATCGTCGTTTCAACGAATAAAGCTGAAAATTAGATATTCACATGCAAAAAGGGAAAACAAAGAATTGAAACACAGATCTTGTACCCTTCAGAAAAATTAACTCCAAATGGATCACCAACCTTAATGGAAAATGATAAAACTCTTAGAAGACAACACTGGAGAAAAATCCAGATGGCTTAGCTATGGCAATCCCTCTTTAGATACAACATCAATGGCGTGATCCATGAAAGCGAGAATTGATAGGTTGGATTGCATTAACATTGAAAACTGGCTTTGCAAAAGGCACTGTCAAGGGAACGAGAAGACAAGCCAAACTGGGGGAAAATATTTGCAAGGGACATATCTGATAAAACAACATTATCCACAATATAAAAACATAACAATAAGAAAACGGATAGCCTTATTGAAAAAGGGCAAAAGACCTAAACAGACACCTCACCAAAGAAGATACCCAGATGGAAATTAGCATATGAAAAGATGTTCAACATCATAGGTCATCAGGGAATTGCAAATTGAAACAGTGATGAAATACTACACACCTCTCAGAATGGTGAAAACGCCAGACACTGACCAGACCAAATGCTGGCAAGGATGTAAGCAACCCAGAAAGTCTCATTGATTGCTGGTGGGAATGTGAAATGGTGCAGCCACTTTGGAAGTGAGTTTGGCAGTTTCTCCGTGGATTCTTTGGTTACAAAACTAAGCACACTCTTAACATGCAATGCAGCAGTTATGCTTCTTGATATTTATTGGAATGAACTGAAAACTTTTGTCCACAAAAATACCTGCCCACAGGTACGGAGGGAGCTTCAATGCTTACCAGTAAGTGAAAGAAGCCAATCTCAAAAGACTTCTGTTAATTAGAATTCACTTAAATAGATTAAATTTATCAGTTAAGAAATATATATTCTCATATCGAAAAAAAAGAGAATACTTGGTAAACTGTTATTTAGAAGAGAGCCTACTGCATTGTTACAGGGGAAGTTACAATAGAAAATGCTAAGGGAAAGAACACTAACATTTCTGGTTTCCTCTCAGGGAGCCAGATGTGAAGCGGAAAAATCTAGTGTGCTTTGGAGGGACAATATACAGTAAAGAAACGTTCGTTTCAATAAATATATACCAGATATAAACATGTAGGCAAATGATAGCTTCAGGATTAAAAGAAAGAATGGATAGAAAAATTGGAGCAAATTGACATAGCCAAAATTATATCAAGCAATGAACATACATCTCAATTACGGATAAGTCAAGCACACCAAAATTTTAGCAAAGACATCAGGGAATTGAACTACTCAGTCAATACGATTCAGCTTATTAACAGACCAAATCCCATAGGTACAGAACACATTATTCGCAAACATATGTTGATCATTTTCTAGGACCTAAAGAAAGTTTCAAATGATGCAACCTTTTGTCACAATAAAAACACTTAGAAAGTTATGAATAAAAGGGCAATGTTTAAATCTGAGAAAGTATAACTCTAAGAGAAACGTGACGAATGCCATTGAAAACGGGGAATACTTAGAAGCTTTCTCTTGAAAACCAGGAATAGGAACAAGGACGATCACTATCGCTGCTTCTCTGCAGTGTTGTTCGGAAGATCCTCGCGGGCACAAGTCAAAAAAAATGGTGAGGGTGAAGAGAAAAGGAAACAAAATTGTAGGACTGGAAAAAAAGAAAACTGTTCATGTGAGGATATCTGTAGGGGATGGTTATCTTAAAGAAAAAAAATACCATGTACCCACAAATCATTGGAAAAAATAGGAAAGAGGTAGGAAAATGTATTCAAGATGAAAATACTTTTGGAGACCTACAAAACCCTGAACGTTCCGGCCCATGCTCACCTCACTACACTTTGGTTCTTGCTCCCTCCAGATTCACTGGCTTTTTTCAGTCACTTGAATTCACCACACTCCTTCCTACCTCGGGATATCCAGCCACCACGCCCTAATTCCCTTTCCAGTCTGTCTTCAAATGTCGCTTCCTTATACTCACCTAAACTTACACTTAACCATATATTCCCTTAGTCCTCTCCCTTTTTGTTCCTTCATAGCACTAACCCAAACGGTAACGAAAATTCCAGCTGCTATTTGCTCATTGCCTTGGTCTCTGACTATCGCCTTCATGAGGGTAGGAATGTCTGTCTTGATCGTGGCTGCTCCTCAGAGCCTAACACAAGCTGTTAATAAAGGAGTGATGAAACATTCCAAGAATTTGGGGCCAGCCTGGTGGTGCAGTGGTTAAGTTCACGAGCTACTCTTTGCTGGCCCACAGTTCATAGGCCTGGATCCCAGGCATGGACCTAGCACCGTTCCTCAAGCCATGCAGTGGCGGCACCCCACAAAATAGAG